GGGCTTATCAGCAGTTCATCCGGTGTTCTGTGTGTCCATGCTTGGGAAGTATCAAGGCAATCCGTCCCACATGTTAGACTTCAGCTCTGTCCAGTTGGACAAGGATTTGACTTACGAGGAGGAGCCGATGGCTATTCTAGCCCGGCAAGTTCGTCAATTGAGATCGAAAAGTTATCCTTCGGTTCGAGTGCAGTGGAGAGGTCAGCTCGTCAAGGCAGCTACTTGGGAGTCTGAGTCGGACATGCGGAGTAGATATCCACACCTTTTCACCAGCCCAGGTACTTTTCTATGTCCGTTCGAGGACAAACAGTTATTTTAGAGCTGGATAATGTGATGACCCGATAGGTCATCTCATGTTTTAAAACCCAATTCTATGTTTCAAAGCCTTAAATATCTCATTTTAGCCTTTCTCAATTTGCCTGTGCAGTCCAGGCGTGTTTCCGAAAAAGATTTTTATGTTAAAAACTGATAAAAATAAGAATTTTGCCTTAAACATTCATTTAAGTTGACTTCGGTCAATGTTTTGGGAAAATAGACCCGAATTTGTATTATGATGGTCCCGGTAGATCCGTATCGTAATTTGTTACTTGGGCGTATGCCCAGAATTGAATTCCGAGGTCCCTAGCTCGAGATAGGGAATTTTGATGAAAACTTAAAAGTTTGAAAGTTTAATGAATTTAATGATTGACTTATGTTTGGTCTTATTGATACCGGATCTGTATTTTAGTTTCGGAACCCACTACAAGTCCATTATTATATTTATGACTTATCTGTGAAATTTGGTAAAAAACGGAGTTGGTTTGACGTGATTCGGGTGTCCGGTTGTAAAAATAGAAGTTTCAAAGTATTCTTGAAATTTTCATTTGATTTGGTGTTCGATTCGTAGTTCTAGGTGTTATTTTGGCGATTTGATCGCGCCAGCAAGTTCGTATGATATTTTTAGACTTATGTGCATAGTTGGTTTAGATCCCTGAGGGCTCGGGTGAGTTTTGGATAGGCTACGAAGTGAATTGAACGTAGAAATCATAGCTAGTGTGCATCAGACCTGCAGATTTCGTATTTGCAAGATCTGGCTCGCAAATGCGAGCCTCGCATTTGTGAAGAAACCATCACATTTGTGAGTAGTGGGCTGGGGGGTGGTCCTTCACATTTGCGGCATTTTGGTCGCACTTGCGATCCTCTCCTGTTCGCATTTGCGATCACTTGTTCGCATTTGCGATGACTGCAGGCCTAGGGTACCTTTCGCATTTGCGAAGAAAATGTTGCATTTGCAGGCTTCGCATTTACGAAGCCCAGGTCGCAAATGCGATATCTGTAGCTGAACAAATATAACTTAGACGTGATATTTGGGTCATTTCTCAAATTTTCAAAACTTAAAACATTAGAGGCGATTTTTCCAAGACTCTTTCTTCCATAAATCATTGGTAAGTTATTCTAACCCATTTTCTTTAAATCTTTCATTACATTTCACAAGTTTTAAACCTAAAATCTAGTGCTTTCATGGTGAAAATTTGGGGGTTTGGGTAGAGTTAGGGATTTTTGAGAAATTGTGATTTAGACCCCAAATTAGCGTCAGATTCCAAAATAAATTACGTAACCGGGCTCGGGGGTGAATGGGTAATCGGGTTTTGGTCCGAATTTCGGGTTTGGACCAAGAGGGCCTGGGAGTTGACTTTTGTTGACCTTTTCAATAATGACCTAAATTGAATCTTTTGCAATCGTGGATGATCCCTAAGGCTTATTTTGAATCATTTGGTTGGTAATTTGCTAGATATTATTAGTTCGGAGGCTGGTTTGAAAGGCAAAGTTGTGATTGAGCAGTGAGTGGTCTTTGGAGCGAGGTAAGTGTTGTGTCTAACCTTGACTTGAGGGAATTAGGAACCCTCGGACGATTTGCTATGTGAAATTCATGTGAGTGGCGTATATGTGAGGTGACGAGTACTTATGTGCCACCAATTTATCTGTTTTCCCTATTTTCTCACTTTTCTCATATTATCTCCTTCCCCGTCTTAATTGTTACATGCTCTAATTGTGTTCCCATGCCTAATTGATACTTGTTAGACATTGTTTTCCCTTGTTCATGATATTGTTTTTTTCCATAGTTTCATTATCTCCTATTATTTGCTTACGTTGGTTTATCGGTACCTTTTTTTGTATACTCTGAATTGGTCTTGCTGTGTAGTATTACTTATGTGAACATTCATGATGTACAAGTTTTCTATTTGTTTCGGTTTAGTGTTTACGTATTGTGGAGGGTTTCCGTAATTTGAATTGTGAATTTACTCTGTATACTGAGCACTTGATGTTGATATGGTGGGATCGGGTTACACATCATAACAGGTGTAATAAGGGTGGACTGTTTGGTGGCATAAAGGTGAACTACGATTATGTTATTGTGATACGGTAGGATCGGGTTGTACGCCGCAACAGGTGTAATAAGGGTGGATTATTTGGTGGCATAAGGGTGAATTATGATTGTGTTATTGTGATATGGTGGGATCGGGTTGCACGTCGCAAGACTTTTATTTATATTCACTATTTTTTATGCTATTATGAGGAAATAAGGGAGGAGTATGAGATGTACGGTAGGATCGGATTGCGCACCGCAACAACCTCTATGTTTCCATTTCATGCTCTGTGTTGGTTTTCTCTTTAGCATTTGTATCTGAATTATTAAAGATTGGTGATTCTGGATGACACTGGTTTATTCTTGAGGCTGTGGTTATGACTTTCAGTTGACTATTTAATTTTGTTTAATATTCCCACTTTTCTATCATTATTATATACTGCGTTCAGGTTGTAGCATATGTGACCCGCATTAGCCTCGTCACTACTTCGTTGAGGTTAGACTCGGCACTTATCAGTACATGTGGTCGGTTGTACTGATACTATACTCTGCACACTGTGCAACTTTTGGAGATGGTCCCAGCGGCGGCTACTAGAGAGCTCAGATTGGACAGTCTGCAGAGACTTGAGGTACAGCTGCTCAGCTCCCGCAGCTCCTGAAGTCCCCATCTTTATTTTATTTAGCTGTGTATTTTCATTCAGATAGCTTTGTATTCATTTCAGACCCTTGTATGTTTAACTCTAGAAGCTCGTGCACTTGTGACAACGGGTTCAGAAATTAGTAGCAGATGTTTTTTTACGGTTTTAGCTTCCGCATTTATATTTAAATTATTGCAGTTTCATTATTTCTTTTTCATTAAATAAATTTAAATTATTAAAATATATAAATTATTCTAACGTTGGCTTACCTAGCAAGTAAAATGTTAGGTGCCATTACGATCCCGACGGTAGAAATTTCGGGTCGTGACAGGACCTAACTCAGACAAATTACTAAACCAGAAAGCAACCTTTCCACAACCAATTTTTCATAGAATTTTCTTATCCACAAGCTTTTTAATTTTACACATTGTATTTTATGATTGGGACTGCCCAGAATACTACTGTTTTATAAGTGGATGAGCTATCTCACAATATTTGGCCATTAGGAACCTCTTCCATAATGATTAACCAGTTCTAAAGTTCCACCACTGCTTTGCAGTGAATGCATTGCAGATGTCATTATGTTTCCTAAAATTAGCACCCCCTTCCTCATATGGAAAACACAAGTTATCCGAGGAAGCACAGTGATGTCTGTTCTTCTCAACCGACCCTCCCCAAAAACATCTGGTAATCACCCTCTCTATTTGGTTGAGAACATACTTTGGAGGATGAATAGCAGCTAGTAGATATGTAGGCAATGCTAATAAGACATGCCTGATTAACGCCGCTATACTATCAGAGGACATAAACTTGGAATGTCACCCTGAGATCTTATTTAGGATCCTGGTGATAATCTCAGAGAAAATAGAAATCTTCTTCCTTCCAACATACAAAGGGCAACCCAGATATTTGATAGGAAGACTTTTGTGTTCCATCTCAATAATATTTTCCACCTTTTAAATTTTCTCCACATATGCATTAGGAGCTATAATAAAGCAAGACTTTGACTGGTTGACTAATTGTCCTAAGACATTTTCATACACTGATAATGCCTCCATCAATATCAACAATGAGTTCCTGCAACCACTAGAAAAAAGAATGACATCATCAGTAAAGGCAAGATAATTTATTAAAGGACCATTTATGTTCATGTGAAAGCTTTTGAACTCCTCAAGAGTAGTTATATGATTTAATTTTTTTGAAAGAAATTCAGCACAAATAACAAAAAGAGAATGGGAGATAGGGTCTCCTTGTCTTAACCCTCTTTCAAACTTGAAGAAGGCTTTTCTAGTACAATTGACAATAAGGGAATACGAATTACTAGAAATGCGTCTAAAGATTATGTCAATCCAAATTTCACAGAATCCAAGTTTTCTCATAAGGATACAAAGATATGGCCATGACACCCTATTATATGCCTTGGCCATATCTAATTTTAAAGCAACATTTCCTTCCTCATTTGGCTTCCCTATATCTTGAATGATTTTTTGGGAGAGTAAGATATTTTCACTGATAGATCTGCCCTTTACAATACCATTTTGATTACAACTTATCAAGTCAGGTAAAATGAAACTTAGTCTAGAGTTAAGGAGTTTAGAAAAAAATTTACTTATCATATTGCAAAGACTAATAGATCTAATATCATTAAAATGTTAGGGAGAAGGGACTTTAGGAAGCATAACTATGCAAGTATGAGTAAACCACTTAGGAATGTTAGCATCACAAAAAATAGATTTAAAAGATTGGATAATATCAGGGGAACCAATAGACTAACTAGTTTGGAAGAATTTAGCAGTGAATCCATCAGGTCTAAGAGAACTATCTGAGTCCATAGAGAAATCACATGTTTTCAGCTCTTCCTCAGTGGGAAAAGCAATCAATTTATTATTAATATCCTATGAAACAACTGGGTCAATAACATTCAATTCAGAGTAGTCAATATACTCAGGTTTCTGACTAAAAGTTCCCTGGAAATATCTCGATGTAGCTTCAGAGACTTCTTTAGTTCCTTCCACCTATTGGAAATGTTCATTCTGAATCTTGTTGATGCCCAGTTTCCTTCTTTTATCCTTGATCACACTGTGAAAGTAAGAAGTATTAGAATCACCTTCAGAGAGCCATTTAACTCTAGATTTCAGTCTCAACATAGAATCCTGAATTTTGAGATATCTAATATATTCAGCCTTTGATATGTACAGCTTGGTTCTATTGCTCTCGTTGTTATTATTCATCAGAACAAATTCAAGGTTAGAAATTTCTCGGTCGAGTCTTATAGGTTCTTCATGAGTGTCTCCATAAACTTCTCTTGACCAGGAACTGAGTTTGGAGACAGTCTTTTTAAGCTTCTGGTGTAAGGACCAGAGAGGATTACCTTGGATATTCTCTTCCCATATACTTTTGACGACATAAGAGAAATCTTCATGATCCGTCCAAAAATTAAGAAATTTAGAGTATCTTACATTAACCTCTTCAATAAGGCTAAATTGGATAAGAAGTGGAACATGCATTAGCAAGGTGGGTAACAGTAGTCCTACCATACAATTCATACCATTCTGAGTTATACACCATCCTATACAGTCTCTTCCATACAATATCAGGAGCTCCCCTGTTATTATACCATGTAATCATATTGCCAAGATACCCTGCATCCTGCATACCACATTCCCTTAGGCACTCTAGAAAGTCAAAACTCTTGTCGATCGTATAAGAATTGCCTCCTATTTTTACCTCAAGAGCTGTGATAACATTAAAATCACCCATCATAGCTCAAGGACCTGTAAGAGTGCTGGATAGATTGAGCAGGTCAGTCCAAAGATCCTTCCTCAAACTTGTCCTACATTTAGCATAAACAAAAGGACTATTGGAATTGAGTATTTGTACAAATATGAGATATTTTGCAAGTAACTAGTTGATCAGTGTCTTTGACAATATCAACAACAAAATCACTAGACCAGAAGATCCAAATTTTATTGTTAATATTTGAGTAGCATTCATTCATATTGAGTTATCTCATGTAATAGTTCATATAACCCACTCTCACTTTAGGTTCTTCCAGGCAAATGAGGGATATTTTATATTGGTCTTTGAGAGTTTTGAGTTGCTTAAAGGCACTTTGAGTTCTAATAATCCTTATATTCCATGAAAGAGTGGCAATCATTGGAAATATTTGTGCAGGAAACTATGTTTTGAGTTTTGATAGAGATAGTCTTTTGAGAGTTGGACCAAACAATCTTCTCTCTTTCTAGACCCTTAGGAGATAGATTGTTGACCTCAACAATCCTATTATGCTCTTGATTTAAATTCAAGTCAGCTCCAGGATCTACTTTCATGAATTTTTTTACTATGACATTGACTTCATTTTCAGATAAGGAAGCTTGTACCTTTTGGAACTGAGTCTCTTCCACCCCTTCTTCCGATTCAGATTCAAGTTGTAATCCATACTTAATAGGGGCATTCTCCATATTTATATCATTAAACTTACATTGATCCTCAACACTAATTCTAGAGGAATCACTAGTGAGAACAGTCGAATTTTAACCTTCCATGTTATTAGCTACACCTTGGTTCCCATCCGGATCTTCTAGAGGCCTCACAATCATGGAGGAAGCTTGTATATGCAAGTTTTTTGAACCATTCACTCTTGTCTTGACAAGATGGTATGTTTCAACATTGCATATTTCAACATTGGGATTGATTATACTCTTGCACTTTCCGCTTCCAGACTGCTTCTTCTTTTTCTCGTAAGGTGGAACTACTTTCTCAAAGGAGGACTTCCTATGCCTTCTGACCTTCCTAGTAGAAATGCATTTCATTTGATCATTCGGGCTCATTACTTCTTCCGTAGGTGCCTGGGGTTGCTCGCTTATATCAGTAGTCGAAATTTGTTCTTTCCCTTGGGATTCTGGAATAGTAACATTACTTTTAGATGACCCTTTATGTATTTTTTTTTAGGAGGATTTTGAATTTTTGCTAGCTCCTTTGAAGGTAGAAGATTGTTGTTTCTATTTCTGCCCTTCTTCGTCCTATTATTTTTGCCTACAGTGGTCCATCCTTCTTCATCTCTGATCTCCACCTCCATAGCCGAGGCATCTTGATCCGTTTTAATTCCACTTCTTTCTGCCATACTGCCCACTATCAACTTACCAATATTTCCTCCACTTGTAGCATCAATAGAAGTGTTATTAGTAGCAGAGTTTATATTAGTCTTTTCTCTATTTCTTTCAGTAGATTGTCTTAATTCATGATGCAATATACAACATTTGAGATCATTGTGTCCCTACATCTTGCAATGGTTATAGTATTCTGGAATGGTTTCATACTCCACCTTCTGAACTACAGTCTCTTTTTGACCTGCTTCATTAAGGATATCAATCAACACTTCCTTGAGAAGAGGCTTTGTTATATCAATTTTGACTTTGACTTTAGTAGTGGTAGGCCTCGTTTTTTATAGAGTCGCCTTGTCACAAATAATGGGGATGCCAATTGGTTCGACAATTCGACTAAGAGCTGCCTATTCAAAGAAATGCCACCGTACATAAGGAGGATTAATCCAAACTGGTGCCATAGTAATTTCAATCTCTGGCTTGAAATCAGTTTTCCATTTTTGTAGCTTCATTTGCATACTACCAATTCGGATGAAGTCCCTAGCATAGACACTTTTGTGATCCTCTTCTTAATCAATATTGATGAAAACATTCTTCACATTATACACACCTATTTTGACAGCACCTTTGAGCGGAATCGTTCTAGTAAACTCAGAACGAATTTTTTCAATGGATGGTCTGGTTATAGATAAATTTTCCACAATTGTTAGACGACAAGTCTCTGCCAAAATCTCATGTTCTTCTTTTGGAAAACTGACCATCGCCTTTCCTGATAAAATCTAATATGGCATGCGCTTGAAATGGACCTTCTTCTTTGAAATACTGACGGCACCTCCAATAACGGATGCATACTTTAGTGGATTATCACCAAGATGAGTGTTTTCCGTAATCATGGGGCTTCCGATTTGGTGGCCGAAGGGGCATTAGGGTGAATCAGTGGGGGAAAAGCAACATATTGCCTGTTGGAGGGTTCCGGCGGTGCCGGTGGGGTCCGAGACCTTTCTTAGAGGTGGAATTGGGGAGCATTTGCCCGATGTGACCGTTTGTTGCCGTTAGAATGCAAATAGGGAATATCGAACAAAGGGATAAAGTTAGAGAGAAGTTGTTGCCTCAGTGTCTAGATTTTGTTTCGAATCTCATTGTCACACAAAATAATTTTCATCTACTTGATTAAAGAGAAAACCGACTGATTTCCGTCAGTTTTTTTAAAAAACCGACCGATTTTGGTTGGTAATTTTATATTTTTAATAAAACCGACCAAAATCGGTTGGTTATTTTCTTGCGAAAATGCAATTAAAGAGTACAAATAAATTAAAAGAAAGTCATAAACCAAAATGTACCAATAGTCTAGTGGTAGAATAGTATCTTGCTATAGTACAGACCCTGGTTTAAATCCCAGACGGTGCATATTTTAATTGCATAATTAAAAATACCGACCGACTTCGGTCTGTTTTTTCGGCAAATATTTCTTTTTGGGTCGTTTGTGAAAATTAATTTACAGACCGAAATCGGTCGGAAATTGCGACCGATTCGGTCGCTATTTTTTACCGACCAACTTAATTTCGACGGATTAAAGTCGGTCAGAAATTGGTCGGTTTTTCCAGTTTTTCGACCGATTTCCGTCGGTATTTCTGGACAGTTTTAGATAGTTTTCTACTTATGTGATATGATACACGATATTGTCATGATTTTCTTAATGAAACGCTATATTTGTGATGCAGACAATATATACAAGTGTAGAAGTCTTGACACTAATTGTATTAACATTGAATCATTTTTACATTAACGCACGAGCAAGACGACAATCTAACGCAATGCTATATTCGTATGGAAAGAAAGAGAAATCGACAATATTCATTCCTTGCAAAGAGGCTTTGACTGCTGAATTCAAAGTAATTTTTGTATCTTTCATGAATCACGAAGCATGAAAAAACAAACGTGACTGTTACTTGCACCCTTTTAAAATTTTATATTATATATGGAAAACATTTCCCTTAATATTATTTTATGGAAATGTTATAGCTTAGGCCTATTAGGCTATTACACGTATTGTTCACTTTTTGGTACAACATATTTTAATTATAGATTTGTCTCTTGGGCTACACTATCATCAAACCAAAAAATGAGCATGCCATGTAAATTTGTATTATTTCTGTCGCTTCATTTTTCTTTCACAATCCGATGTGGTCAGGATTAAAAGTCTAAGGCAGTCATTTGCACACTTTCTTCATAAACTTGCCAATCTACAAACCTGATAGTCCTTCTTTTTGACTCCCTCTTGTCAATCCCGTCATGGGCGTCCCAGGAAATTTCAATTATATACTAGCTTCATTTTCTATTTAAATTATCCGGCATTCTAGCAAATTCTGTTCCACTACTACTCCAAATCAATTACACTTTACCTCCAGTCTAAATTGAAAAATAATCAAGCAACCTTCATTTGTTTTACCATTATTATTACTTCTTTTTTTTTTTTTTCGTTCTTTATAGGCTTTATGCACGTCAATTCTTCAAAAATGATTTAATACCAATTTTACTGTATAATATTCCATCTGTTTCCTTTCAAGTTATTTGACTTTAGTGGCGGCTAAACTGCTCGCCAGCTTAAGTTTGTGTATTCACATTTTTCTTCACGATTTTAATTTTGATCGGAAAAATTTGATAAAAAGACTATCACTATTTTTTCTATTTTTTTTCTGCGAACACATGATAATTGATTGCATTATTTTTCTGCGTACATATGATAATATGCTATGTTTTCGATTGGTCTAGCTAGTCTAATATGGCTTTCAATTTCGTATTATAAATAATATTCCTAGTGAAAGTGGAGTATCCTTAATTTACACGATATTGGCAGACAACGCTTTCAAAATGAAATAATTTCAATTTAATTTGAAAAAGTTAATTTATTAGTGATCAAAGTATCAAAAGATAATGATGGCAACTGTTTTTCTGCATGCAAATGTTGGTTATTATTTTCACACTTATGAACCAGAGACCTGGCCCCTTATGAAGAAATATCTCTCCACATCAGACTGGTTTTATCATTGGAAGAACTATAACTGAGAATATCATGCTCACTCAGGAAATTGTGCACAACATTAATCAGTCTCCACAGCTTGAAAATGTTGTCATGAAATTGGATATGGCCAAGGCCTATGATAGAGTCGATTGGGACTACTTATGCCAAGTTTTGAGGCAAATGGGATTTTCAGAAGTATGGATTGATAGAGTCTGGAGGCTAATCTCGAATGTCTGGTATTCAATCAACCTAAATGGTTCAAGGCAAGGTTTCTTCAAATCTAACAGGGGTATTAAACAAGGGTATCCTATTTTCCCATCACTGTTTGTCATTGGAGCAGAGTTATTATCCAGAATGATGAACAGACTACCTGAAAAAGGTTTTATTCCATATTCATCTGAGAGAAGAGGGCCCTTGATTACTCATTTATGTTATGCGGACGATACCATTTTATTTTTCTCTGGAGATCCAATATCTTTGAAGATGATGATGAATGAATTAGAGTCATATGAAACCATCTCAGGACAGATGATCAACAAGAGTAAATCTAGTTTCTATGTGTCAACAAACTTCCCTCAATCTGAGCTCAATAAAGTGGAGGATATTACTGATTTTTCTCAACTTCAGTTCCCGATGTAGTACTTGGGGTGTCCCATATACTTGGGGAGGAAAAGAGTAGTTCACTTTAACAACATGATAGCTAAAGTTGCCAATAGAATGCAAGAATGGCAAGGGAAGCTCCTATCTTAATGTGTGAAAGCAGTGCTCATTAAATCAATATTGCAATCTCTTCCTCTTCACTTGCTTTCTATTCTTTATCCTCCTAAAATAGTTCTTTCACAAATAGAGAAGATCATAGCTAATTTTTTCTAGGGAAAGGATGACAGCAAAAATAAATTCCACTGAAAAAAAATGGAGTGATCTCTATTTCCCTATTCTTGAACGTGGGGCTGGTTAGATCACTATCAGATTTCGCAAATGTCTTTTCTGCTAAGGCATGGTGGAACTTCAGAACTGATCAGAGTCTCTTGAATGATTTTTTGAGTGCTAATTACTGTAAAAGGTTACATTCTGTTGCCAGAAAGTGGTCATACGACCAATCTCATAAGTGGAAAAGCTTAATGGCGATTAAAGAAGATGCTGAAAAACATATCCTTTGGAAGATTGGGGTAGGTAAGATATCCTTCTGGTAGGATAATTGGTCTGGTAAGGGAGCCTTGGCCAAGGTCATCCAATTCCATAATACCTCTATGAAACTCCAGGTGAACTATTTCTTTGAGGGTGGGAAGTGGAATTCCAATAAGCTCAGGAATGTCCTTCCTCGCAATATTGTTAA